CGAAATTCAAGACAGGCGCTGTAAAACACTGTTTAATACGCTCGCGACTACTGCCTATCTAAAAGGAAATTCCACCACGACATCCAAGTTATTGCATTAAGATAATGGCACCAATTGTGGTTATTAGTTTGGTCACTTTAATTCCTGCTGATCAGCCAGAATGTAAAATTATCCTTCATCAGTTTTGCAGCTTTTAGTATAAGCAATCGTCTTGTGATCCATGAGTTAATACGATTTCACTAATCACAAAATGCTAAGAAATACACGCCACATCTAGGTAAAGTGGCAATCACATAGCTAAAATGAGGAGCGTGAAAGGTGTTTCTTGGCGCAGCAACTTCAGTCAGAGCGGGGACCAAAACCAGGCACTCAAAACATACTCACCTAGGTGGATCGGCAACCCCATTGTCCAGCTGAACCAACTCAAGAAAAAATTTAGGAACCGGACAAACATTTGCTGCCTCCGTAGCACTGGCTGTGCGGGTGTGTTCAAATATGAGAATGGACGGATTGTAACGCTAAACACTCCTAATAGAGGACACGGGAAGTGTCAGACCTAGAAAAGCAAAGCAACTACCACTTCTCACTGATGCAGTACTCTATGTTGAACATTTTGACCAGTACATGGGATTTTCATTCAGTGATTGATATACAAGTAGGATAAAGAACGTTTAAATCACCAAGTAATTTGAAAGAACGCAGTCGGGTGAAGGAGTGGGCTAAGTTAAGGATCAAAAATGGTGATGGATTTGATTATTGCCATTATTTGATGATGGTGTGCTTTTAGCTACCTTTCATAGGGCAACGATCCTGAGTGGCATGAGATGCAGTTTGTGGTGAAGGACTACTGCTTCGGCCACAGTGATTACCTTGTGGTGAGTAGCCTGCTGACACTCTCGCAGGCACTTGAATTAGGCGGCTTGGCGACAGTACGACTGCCGCTAAAGCCTAGACAGACGCAGTCAAAGGCAGGCTGGACCATGCTCTGCATCCTCTCACAATGGCTTGCCATCGACGAGGTTGTGCAGGAGTTCATTTGCGTCAAAATGGAATGCTGTTCAGCAGCCATAAAATCCACTTCCAATCAAGCAGAGTAAATGGCCAAATCCGATTTTATGAAGAAAACAAGACCGTGCGCTCTGTGTTATGCATTTCACGGATCTTCTTTATGACATGCTCCCTGAAGATGTACATCCAATTCACGTTGAGGTTAAGGTAGTGTTCTAAATAGTCTCGGTGATTGTTATAAATTGAGATACCATCTATTATGGACTGGAATTCCGTGTCCAAATATCCTGGATCATATCAAGTACCCATCCTGATAATCGTGACGAATATTTTTGCCATCCAACGGATGACTTAGCACAAATGTACGGCAGGCGCCTAAGAGCCCGACCTCCTGCTAGTGAAGACCACAAAATACTGATTTTGAGTCTGAGTCACTCGTTTTTTCCTAGTTGCACGTAATTGTGGTGACTGATTGGCCGTGGATTTAGAGTGATTACTAGGGTGCCTAAAAGCAGTAAAATAGCAAAGACTCAGCAAGAACACGAATTTATAGTGTTTGAGGAATTGTTCCTAAACAGGGAACTTCAAGGAAATTGTGCAGAGACACATTTCTGAGACTGAAGGCTGTTCCAGCACCTCATCTTGCAGAAATGGACAGGAGCGACGATGTCTAGAGCCAGGACAGTTAGGGTTGGAGTTAGTGTTTTCTTATAACTACCATAAATCCCACCTTCCGGACCCTCCAACACAGTGATTGAAGAAGGTTCGGCTAGTACACATTAAGCCCACTGATTGAGTCTCCATGGAGTAGTTTTGCTGCGGCTGTGCTACCTAGCATCATTAACTGGCGTTTACATTGCGCAACCTTGGATTCTGTCCACCTTTAAGCCCGAGTAACCAGAGGACAGACTTCAACACTATTTGCTCAAGTCCCTCTACAAATGATATCGACGAGTTGCACGTAAGAGACATTCCAGGTGAACGTTAACTACACGAAGAATACAGACATCCCTTATATCAAAGCTAACGCACAGTCAAAAGTTAACCGCTGTTTATTTATCACCTCGATAATATGAGGTGTCAATCTCCTACAGAGCATTGTCTGGTCATCAGAAGTACCTAGTGAATTGTTCTCCACCTTGAGATTTTTAGTGACATGGATGGTTCGACCAAAATCCACGCCACTAAATCCCATTGTGTACGATTCACTACTTCAGCTCTCTACACTTCCATGACACAAAGAACTTTCAATATTGGGTATCGTTTAGGTTTCAGCCCTGTGTTTCAAATGTGTCATTCAAATGTGATGGATGAACGACAACGAAACCAGCTAGATGAGCCATCTTTTCGACGTGATGCAAATGTACCAAATCAGTTTGACTGCCTCCGCAGTGAAGGTGATAACAGATGGAGAATTAACACTGGTAAGATTAGCAAGCCATAGTAAAACCAGACAAGGTCTGCGTAATATTTCAAGTGCAATCTAAGCAGATGCTTCAGAGCTTCTTCAAAGGTAATGAGCTGAGGAAGAGTCAATGGACAAAAGCAGGTACCTCCCAATCCGTAATATAAACACATAACTATCTTCAGTTTGATATTGATACATGATTCCTAGTTTTACTTAAATATGACAAAAAAACTATATCTGTTAATAAAGTTAGCCCAGAGATCCAAGCGTTTAGGTCTTCAGTGGCTTAAATCATGTGCTATGGGAAATAACAATAATTAGAGAACCAAATAACGCACCAATCGGTTGAGTGATGAAGCCGGTGCTCAAAGAATCCACGAGGAAAGCATTTGCCCTCCTGTCCTAGCGTCCAAGGGCACATTTGAACATCGGGATTCAATTGACCGACTTGACGGATATGGAGCATTAAGGGGGCACTAAGCCCCTTATTGAGTATGAGTATTAATTCCTTTGCGTCAGAGATATGAGGTGGCGGGAGATGGAATCTGACATAATGGAAGAAACCACTGTTATGCGAAATGCATCATCGGTCTGGCATTACAATATTTTATTTTTATGGAAGTACTTAAATCAGGGATGGACGGTGATAGAAGAGTGGATCAGCGATAAAGGTGCGGATTCATTAAAGGCTAAGTGATTTCGAGGTGGCTGACGAATTCGGCAAGCAGTAGGGAAATGAATTCAAAAGATTCGTCTCTTGGAGCGGTCAGAAATGTGGAGTGAGCAGATGAGTAGATTTGCATTATCATGTATGCATATATATAAATTCCAAAATGGAATGATGATTGTGTAAAATTTAAAATGGGTAACTGGATAAATGAAAATTGGGGGTATTAATTGAATGGCTTAAGAATGGATGGGAGAGTTAATGACTGCATCTCGAATGCGCGAATGACCAGGAATTGAGCCACCAATGCAAAAGTGATGATTCGGAAGGAGATGAAGCACACGGGAGCACATGAAAAGAGAATGGATTCAAGGTAATTAACGAATGAATGAATGCAGGGATGGGTGCAAGAATCACTGCACAGAATGATGGGTAAAGGAGTTAGGAATGGGTAGGAGCTACCGCATGAGCAGACTCACTAGCAGCAGCCCAATAACCACATCTTCTGAAAACATTTTTAAACCGGGAGAGCGAGTTGCACATTGTAGTGCTTCAGTAGTCGAATGGTGGATGCAGACATGTGGCATTCAGTCATAGGCTTGCCACCGATACTGTAAGTGGCAACAACACCCAAAACCCGGCACATCTGCCAACACCACGTCAGCCATTTTTCCACTACGGTGAGGGAAGAAAGTGCTACTGACAATAAATTGAGTAAAAGTGCTTTCTCCTAGTTCTGACTGTTAAAAAGTGTCGGAAAGCGAGGCGTTTTGTGGCCTGTTTTCCACGATTTCTTACTGTCAGCAATAATTCCCGCAAACCAATTTGTGGCCGTACTTTCCTCATATCTATTTGTCCAATTGCTAAAAGTACATAAAATAAAATATTCAATTATTTTAGAAAATATTTGTTGCCGTGTATGGATATTTTCATTCATCTTTCTAATCCTTGGTCTTAAACCATATTACTGGCGCATCATTACTGCGGGAATTTTGCTTTGTATTGATGTAGAAAATCTTGCGGTGTTTCCAGATTACTCGCTTGCCCTGCTGTGCCTATGCTTCTTTCCGCTTCCTTCATTTAAGTTCACTGACGTGCATTTGAGGCATCGTCAGTGAAATCTGAGATGCTGCGGCTTGGCTTGAGTCCCATTTGGTCAGCCATCGAAGTCTGCAACGCAACCTATCAACAGAACCGTTTGAAGCTATAGATTGTTGCATCTTTAGCATTTGTTCTGCACCAGCACCTGATTTAGTGCAAGCAACTGAGAGTCTTCAGATGGCAATGAGTAGACCCTCTGCAACATTGCTACATGCGTTTGTACTGCCTTTAAATATGCAACAAACAAAATTGGCAAATTTAAGTGCATTGTAAAAATACTTCTGCCTAATATCCCACATTTGCCAAAAGGAATTCGAGGTGCTTGCTAATTTTCTCCTGACGTGTAAATTGTCGCTAAGATTAGTCTAAAATGTAATGATGAGATGCTGGTTTGCTGGTATCCTTGACTATGCAGCCTCTTCGGTGCCCACGGATTTCGGCTCTAATGAAGTCTATCGGTGAATAACCAAACAGGCGTCGTGCATGGTTCACATTTACGTCTAACCGCGGCATATTCTGTCAGAAATGCCAAATATTTAGACCCTCTGACCCTGTGCAATTAGAAATGCATCTCATATATCCGTCTTAAAAACAAATACGCTCTTCTATAGATACCTTTCACTAAAACTGACCCTCGCTTTCACTTCTGCCACCACAAATTGCAGCATTTACTTTGCACCTAGGTAGTCGGCCGCTTCACATTTTCACACACAAAAGCAAATTTCAGTAAAAGATGTCTCTAAACTTCATCGGTTAAGCTACAATATTTTATTGTAATTATTGTCGCTCTCTAACATTGTCAGCTGTGCCGCTGCTCCCCTTGACCCACGTGCTCACCAACCCAAGTCCACTTGTGCCTTCGCTTTCCCAATTCGTGTTGCATTTACTCCGGCAGAAATATTGTGATGTGAATTTTAGGTGGTGCCTTCTGTGTGCTCCAATTTGTTCCCTTAACTAACCACATTGACATTTGAATGAGATGACTACTTACGCAAGGACCTCAAATGCTTAACTCCTACTAGCCAATCAAGAAGCCACTCGACCGGTGCCCACTCCTACCTTTCATCAGCCATCGGGTGGCACCACTCGATTTGGGTGTGGCAAAGTAGCCCCAAAACGAAGTGTGGTACTTGCTGTGTGGTAACGCATTCTCTCACCACAAGCCTCCAAGTCACACTTTCTTGGTTGTCTTTGCCTGTTCTTGTACTCCCAGCCACGCCAATCACATAAGGCGTGGTGAAAAGAAGTCGAAGCGAATGACAAGCAATTAAGTATGCGCATAAAAACAATAGCTTTACCAGTCTTTGGGACTGTAATTCAATGAGGACTCTCATCTCCCGATCAATGACTACATTTTAACAAAAGGAGCTTTCGAATGTACCAGTTCCCGTCTTCTTCGTCGCTTTTCAGTTTGTAATTTCAATGGCTAACTATTGGATTGAAATTTTGATATCTGCACCTGTGTGTGCACTTCTTGATTATGTCTTTTATGGATTGAAGATGGAAGGGAGTAGAAGACGGAAAACTAAGATGGAGAAAAAGGAAAAAAGGCAACAAGGATAAGAAGTGTAGGCATTCTTACCGTAGGTGCAAGAAAGGGGTACGTCAAGTAACGATCATCTCAAAACCGTTGTACTGAACATTTGATTATACTCATGGGAACTGAAAAAGTGATGAATGAGGACTGCTATAGTCTTAACGTAAGATTTTGTCATCAAACCTGTCCATACTACGAGCTGAATTGGGAGGTGTACACGCAATACTAGAAGCGCATGATCTGCGCGGGCACTTGTTGTCCCGCGACCATGTTGGAAGAGTGCCTTCACAAGGACGAATTACATGGGAAGGAAGACAGGTGAAATTTGCGTGATGGTGAGTCAATCACGGAGAACTGGTGTGCTGGTCGTGGTCCATTTGGCACGGTATTGTGAAGCCGCTAGCGCACGCGATGGAGGCATAAATGACTTCGAGATTCCTGGAAGGGTGTGGTGCAATCTTCCACGCTTGACTGCACACCACAAAAGTGGTAAATATTGTCCTACGAAATAAAATCACCACTTTAAAATAAAGTTGCTTGTAGTCACCGGCACAACGTTTAGCTTTGCAAAAAGCAATATTTCGTCTATTTTAAATTGTCAAGCATCATCATGTTAAGGTGCAACAATTTGTGTGATGGTAGTAAAATAAAGTGTGATGGAGAAGTCGAAGGTATAACAACAAGAAGCCAGGCGGGTGACCGATGATGGTAAGAAGAGCCTTCTGTTCAGTAACACTGGGTTTCACATCATTTTAGTAACCCAAATGGACGCTGAAGGACCCAACTTTTGCGTGTGATGTTCACGTCCTCTGCACTTTGGTCTTTAAAGAACCGCTGCTAACGATACCAAATGCAAATGTGGGCTAAAATAATCATGCATATCAATCATATTCCATGCAGACGCTCTTAATTTCCATATTTCTAGGCAATAACTATAAAGATTTAAACTCCTTCTAATACGGCCCACTTTCCCACTCTAAATGATGCAGTAAAGTAACTGTTCAAATCTGGATTTACACCTGACTATACACGCTGAAGACAGTATTTCTGCCACACACGTCAACATAAGAGACGACACCACTGCTCAAGCCGACGCTCATTCATAGGCGTGTTCGAGTCGGAGCCTGCATTTTGCGTCATTGCTTTAAGTGCATAGTAGCTAGTTATTGAAAAAAAGCATGAAAGAGTAGCGCCTCCTGGTTGGATAAAAGAATTCCAGCAGTTAGTGCGCATCATGGATAGGTTAGGCAGAATCAGCTGCAGTTGATATAAAAGGTTGCAGCAGTCGTGGCGGTCATCATTGTTCGACACAACGTGTTAACATTTGTGCCCCACAAGAAGCCATGTCAACGGGTCCTGCTATTGGCATTGATCTAGGAACCACCTTTTCCTGCGTCGGTGTTTTCCAACATGGCAGAGTGGAAATCATAGCCAACGATCAGGGTAATCGCACAATGCCCAGTTGTGTTGCCTTTACAGATAAGGAACGTCTTATCGGTGAAGCCGCAAAAACCCGGGCTGGCATGAACCCCACCAACACAGTGTTCGACGTGAAGCGTCTGATCGGACGCAGTTTCAACGATGAAGCGTTGCAGGGCGACATTAAGAATTGGCCCTTCAAAGTTATAAATTCTGGTGAGATACCGAAGATCGAAGTACAGTATTGTGGTGAAACAAAGCACTTCGTTGCGGAGGAGATCTCATCCATGGTGCTGTCAAAGATGAAGGAGACGGCGGAGGCCTACTTAGGCGAGGAAGTCACAAATGCAGTGATTACTGTGCCTGCGTACTTCAACGTCAATCAACGAAAGGCCACAATTGACGCGGGCAAATTAGCTGGCTTAAATGTACTGCGTCTCATCAATGAGCCGACGGCTGCTGCAATTGCATACGGCATAAACAAGAGGAGCGACAAGCAGCGCAATGTGCTCATCTTCGATTGGGGTGGTGGCACCTTCGACGTGTCCATTCTGTCCATCGAGAATGGAAAATTCGAGGTAAAGGCGGTTGGTGGTGACACGCACCTGGGTGGTGAGGACATCGATTCCCGTCTGGTGGATCACCTTGTGGAGGCGTTCGAGCAAAAGCACAAGAGACAGGACTTGACAGGTAACAAGAAAGCCATTGGCCGTCTGAGAAAGGCGTGCGAGACGGCAAAGAAGACACTGAGCTCGGCTGAGTGCACGAACATAGAAGTGGATTCGTTGTTTGAGGGTATCGATTTCAATGTGATCCTCACAAGGGCCCGACTTGAACAGTTGTGCTTGGACCTCTTCAGTCGGACGATGAATGCGGTGAAGACGGCATTGAATGATGCGAAGTTAAATAAGGCTGACATCCACGATATAGTGTTGGTGGGTGGATCGACGCGTATTCCGAGAGTGCAGAAGATGCTGCAGGATTTCTTTAATGGTAGGGAATTAAAAAGGTCCGTCAACCCAGACGAGGCAGTGGCGTACGGTGCAGCGTTGCTGGCGGCCAATCTGACTGGTGACGAGTCGATGACAGTGGAGGATTTGACGTTGATGGAAGTGACACCACTTTCACTGGGTATGGAGACGGAGGGTGGTGAGATGTCGACGGTGATAAAGCGTAACACGCGAATTCCCACCAAGCAGGTAGGTTTTTACAAAACGTCTGCAGACAATCAACGGATGGCGTCGATCAGGGTATATGAGGGTGAGCGCGCGATGACGAGTAAGAACAGCTTGTTGGGTGAGTTTCTTCTGTCAGATCTCCCATTGGCACCTCGTGGTGAAACTAGATTCGAAGCAGTCTTTGAAATTGACGAAAATGGCATTCTCCATGTATCGGCGATGGAAATGTTGACAGGGAAGCAAAATAGCATCACCATCACCAACTACAAGGGTCGTCTGTCGGAAGAAGAAAGAGCGCGAATGCTGAATGATGCGGAGAAATTCAAGCAGGAGGACGAGAAGCAGAGGAGTAGGATGGCAGCGAAGAATAGGTTATTGGACTACATCTACAGCATAAAAAGGGAATTGAGGAACGAAGAGGTAAAGCAGAGGACATCGGAGGAATATCGACAAAATATACTTGAGATGTGTGAGGACGCTATCAAGTGGACAGACGCCGAGGAACAGGCAACAGAGGAGGACTACGAATTAATGCACAAGAAGTTTGAGAACGTGAGTAGCCTTATCATGGCAACGAAGCAACTTGGTTTGTAAGCACGGAGAAATGAAAAGTAAAATGAAGAAATCTGTACATCAAATCATGCCCATCTTTCAACTACTCCACAAAACGCTGCATTGTGAAATTCAATATATGCTTATTTAATCTCATCCGCAACTCCTTGTGATTTGTAACCTTTTTTGTACTTTGCCGACTACGTGCATGGAAACTCATTTTAGCCTTTGTGTACATGCTTTGCTAAACATTTACCCATCCAAATACACCGCAATACTCCTCTTTATATAAATTCATGACTTGGCATCGGACAACATAGATTTTGAAGAGCACTCCAACGACCACTTCACTTTTCATGGTTTTGTGTGAGCACGGTAGACAATGTAGTGATGGGCCTTATCGAAACCTCAAAGCTTGGGTCATTCCATGTCAAACGGCATTCATTGCACCTCTTTCATTCATACTTTTTGAAGGCAAGTAGACGAGAGTACTGTCTGTCATTGACACTTTCTTGTTTAAGTCATAACAGCGTTAGTGAGCAGAGGGAAGATCAACATAAAAGAGATGACCAATTAACTGTGGACAACGTAAAGACACTCACCTACTTTTGCATCCACCGTAGAGGTTCAAGTGCCTGCCTGCATTTGCGAGAAGCAAAACCAAGTGAGTGAGCAAAGGTAACGAGTGATTGCTTATGTTTTGTTTTCCTACATAAGGTGTATTTGGCAGTTTTTTTCAATAAGCGAGTGAACGTAGATGGCACATGGCGAATTCTCTATCCGGTTGCTTGCTGCAGAAGCTGGCTCTTGGAAACCCAAGCCTGATGGCATTGATAAACTGAACTAGTCCAAGGTGCCATCATGCGTAGGATAGTGTGAGTAGAATGCGGAACTTGGCATACTCTCGAGCAAGATTTAAGGCATCTTTTGCGAGGTCTGAAATGCAGTGTCGTTGATTGGGTCTCAGTTGGTCAGCCAGCAAAAATTACAACGTGACCTTTCAGCGGGACCGCTGAAGACTATGCATTCTTCCAATTTTGCCATTTGTTATAAGCCTCCACCTGATTGGGTGGCGGTAACTAAAAGTCTTCAAATAACACTGAACAGACCCTCTTCAATAATGTCGCATACGTTTGTGCTGACTTTGAATATGCTCATAAGACAGCTAATGGACTCAAATGCATTGTCAAAGCATTGTAGGGAATTCTTTTTGCAGTTGCTAAAAAATTTTAAGTATTTAAGGGTTCCCCTGCATTATGTACATTGTCACTAAAACTTGACCTTTCCGTAATACGGCGATATCAGCTTGTTGATATCTTTGACTGTTCGGACTCTTCGGTCAGCGCAGATTTGGGTTTTGCTTGCGTACATTTCTGAGTGACAATGATCCCCTCTCGTATGCTCCAAAATGTTTTCAAAAGCCACCCTAGTGCCACTGACTGCTTGAACTTGATCCCACAGGTACGACTGCGCGAGAGTTTGTACTCTCATTCTCCTTCTCATAAATGTGTGTGCAAGTTGGGCATAAGGTGCTGGATAAGTGGCAAATAAAAGGTCACTTTGCTTGCGAGTCGTCAACTTGGCCAACTTGTACATCTACATCCACCCACACCAGGCACAAATCAGCACTCGGCACATCTCCGGTAGAAAAGTTCAATCTCAAGGATCAATTTAACTCATTTTTTTCATGCGAACACAAAGTGGTCATTATGAAATTGCAAAGGAGATGATGAATGACTGTGAGGTGCAAAATTCCTTCCTTCTGGAATCTAGAAGTTTCGACCCACCTCGCTCACATGCACTGAGGGCTTAATATGTTCATGCACATCCCGTGGGGAAGTTGCACAAATATCCACTGTAGTGTGTCCACTCGTCTGTCCGACAAACGCTCACTACACATGTGTACACGTCAGTAGTTTGACTTTCAAGGAAGGTTCCAAAAGAAAAAAGGATAGCAGGATGCAAATGAACACCGTTGCCAGAATGTAACTGGCACGACCTCCAAAGTGCCGCCTTAAATCTGACAATATATTCGGGTAAA